CCCCCTCTCACCCGTTGCAGCCGTGTTGGGTGACTGGATGTGGTCGTGCTGGCCGCGTGAAACAAAGTCGTTATCATGTCCCCCCTTCCCCCTCCTTCTCACGCGTTGCGAGGCGGGTGACTGGTCGTGCTGGCCGCGTGGGTGACTGGATGTTGTGGTCGTGCTGGCCGCTTGAAACAAAGTCGTTATCATGCCCCCCCCCTTCCCCCCCTTCCCCCTCCCCCCTCTCACCCGTTGCGAGGCGGGTGACTGGTCGTGCTGGCCGCGTGGGTGACTGGATGTGGTCGTGACTGTCGTGCTGCAACCGAAAGCATGCTCCACCAACTCCTCGCCCAAGCCGCGATCGCTGCCAGCAGGTCTTCAAACGCACCAGGTTGCACGAAGCGGCGGGCGTGGTCATTCCAGCGGCCGCCCACCTCGGATCCGGTCTGTGGCCCGTGTGAGTTCCGGGTACGTGCACTCGGCCACCAGCAGTGCGGCACTACGCCACCGTCCACGGCCACTGCACATGGCTGCGGGTGCCCCGACCGTATGTGGCTTTTAGCTTCTTGTCCAAGTTGCTATGCTAATAGCACGTTGCGTTGCGATTGAGAGGATACTTAACCTGGACAACATAATGGGAGGCAAACGTCCGGATGTCGCTTACAGGGTAGCACCGTCACTTGCGCCCACGCGCTCGCGGTCACTTGCGCCCACGCGTTTGCGGTCACTTTCGCCCACGTACTCGGTGTGTTCAAGGGGAGTCCTTTCATGCCCAGACTGGTCTGCCTGCAGCGCACCCCATCCCGAGCCCGACTCGCTGCCCACGCTCGTGGTAGCACATGCAAGATGCGAACAGACTCTTGGGCGCCAGCGAAAGGGAGGAGACAGGTGGAGCCGTGGAGCCCGCGCCGGGCAAGCAGGGCCGCCGAGAGCATTCACCGCGTGAAACATGGTCGAAGGAGCCGACTGCGTCGACAAACGAGACGGTGGCGTGCGGGCATGCCTCGGTGGTAGCGCGGAGTAAACGGCTGACAGTTTGAGTGCCAATGCAGGTGCAAACGGACTCATCTCTGGATTTTCTGGGCGCTACCAAGCGTCCGACCCGGAGACCTTGGAGCACCACGAAGGGAAGTTCCGCACAAGCAAGCCGGAGGGCGGGCATTCCTGTGCATTGAATGATGCGAAAAATGTTCGTTGGTGGCGCCGCAAAGCCGCAAAGTCGGCACGTCGGGCAGCGCGCCAGTGCAGCGGCCCGTCGCCAGCATGGCTCTGGGTGGCGCCCGGCTGCAGCCGAAGCTCGACAGCATCGTCCACCTTTCCGTCGCTGGCCCTGGCGGCCCTGGCCTAAGGACCGCTGTGCCCTCGGGCGGCGCAGCGGTAAGAGATGCAGGACACTTTCCGGCGGAACAAATCCAGCTCGATCTCATGCTTCACGAAGCCCCACTCGCCAAATTGTCACTGTAAACTGTATCCCGTAAGCCTGTAAACATGTCGGAACGCGACGCGCGGGCCCCGCATTTTGGACGGACATGCACAAGCACACAGAGGGAATTGGCTTGAAGTTTATGTGAAAACGCAGCTAATGCAAGGAAAAAACACATCTCGGCATGGGATGGTATGATATGTGCGATGTAATGGAGACCATAGACGCTGGTCGTCTAGGTTTGTCATCTCACCGAACAAAAATCAGTGATCAGTTGATGTGCTGCAGGCATGAGCTCAAAGCATGCCCCTGATTGCGTGCTAGAGAGTTGTACCGTCCAGAAAATCCCAAAATGGGAGATCGCGGAGGCCTCATGTCCTGTGCTGTCCGCACCGAAACTCACAGCTGGATGCTGCTTGCAGATTCATTGTGTCAGGAAGCCGCAGCCGCGACCGTGACACCAAACGCAAGGCGGACTTTGCCGTGGTTTCCAATGCACCGAATCTGATTGGAACAATAATCGCGGAGGACAGTCGAAGTCGTTCACGCAAGAAGGATAGCCGAAGCCGGAGCCGGAGCAAAAGCGCAGAGGCCTGGAATCTCCGCAGAAGGTGTGGCACCTTCTTTCCGTGAACCGGCCTGTGGCACAGGCGAGGCCCAAGCGACCAGATGATTATGGCGCGTGCACCTTACCGATCGGATGCCCATGTGTTCCGTTAGCAAGAAATCGAGATGTACTAGAGTTTGCTTCAGGTGGACACCATGAAAATCACTGATGATGACGCGGCTTTCATTTTGGGCAAAGGTGGCAAAACCAAGGCGGTCACATGAAGAGAGATAGATGCTGATGGTGAGATGCAGATGGAAAACCAGTTATAACATGCTGCAGGAGAAGATTGCGAGAGTTTCCAACGCAGAAATAGACACTCGGCCAAAGCATTCCCATCTTGCTCCAGTCTGGCGGACGGAGCTTAGCAGTCGGTAGCTTTCCACAGGAGCTCTTCGAGCGAGACTTGGTCTTGGAGATCCGTGGGTCCAAGAAGGAGCGTCGTCGAGCAAAGAAATATGCCGAAGGCCGTTAATGCCCGCAGCTATCATTGATGTTCTCTTCCTGGTTCGATTGTCGCAGGTGTCATGGCACAGCGGACGGGGTGCATCCCTTATAGCTGTCGCAGTAGCAAAGGCTTTACGGCATGCAGTGCGACATGTTTGAGCGATGGGGAGACGGCAGCTTGGGTAGCGCGAGAGAGAGAGGCCCCGCTGGACTCAGACCTTCCAAAAGAGAGTCAAGATCGGCAACACAGCACAGCATGTCACCCAGGCCGGTCACAGTGAACGAGGACTACGACGACGGAGATCTGACAATGCTGCGTGCAATCTCGGCTGGCTTGATTTGTTATGTGTATGGACTGGGCATGATTGCGCCATTGCGCTGTCGCGCACCTAGACGATAGCGATGTTACGCGACACGGGAAAGTGCCAGGTTCCACAAGAGGCCGTGGGCTTCGTCACTGGACGAGTTACTTGGCCGCAACCAAGCCAGGACCGAAGTCTGTTATTGTGTAAGCAGTCCTGCCCCCACATCAGGCAGGCAATTTCCTACGCACCATCGAGGAGGAGTGGGGAACATTGATGTGGGGAGCCCACATGTTCCACAGGATTCGTTGACAGGTTCGAAAGCGGCTCCCTGAAATGCTTCAGGTTTTTCGTCGAAGTGGAAAGTTCACGCTCCCGGAGCAAGGACTGCCTTCCGGTCATCCCAGCTAACAAGCAAACTCCCTCCACCACGTTCTAGTTGCTCCGCTTACATCTGAAATTAAATTCGATTTGCCACAGGGCCGGCCGGATTCACTCCCTGTCAGGAGTACGAAAAACTCGCCATTTTCGGAAACGTGAAAGCACGTCGCGGGGCCGAGCTGAAGGCTTGACTTGGGGTGGGCAGCGATAGAAAGCTAGATAGACAGATAGATAGATGAGTAGACAGTGGTAGCTTGGTTTCCTAGGTAGATAGATAGATGGGTAGATAGATAGATAAAATAGATAGATGACATACATAGAACCTTGGAGCTCAGGGCCCAGCTTCTTTTCTTTCACTTTGGGTGCGGGGTTTGGGTTTGTAGAGGGTTGATAGAGCTTAGCTTAGGTTTCACGGCTTTCAAGGGGTAGTAGGCTTTCTTGTCTCGTAGGCTTGAGTTTAATTTCGGCAGACCTCCTTGCTTGCTGAAGGTTTACAGGGGATGTTGCCGGGCGGCGCCTGTAAGCCGTGCGTTTCTGCACACTTTGGCTTGGGGGTGGGGGCAGTGTGATCCTGCTGATGATGATGACCATGCGTAAACTCCTAAACCGTCAACCCTAGCCCGGCCCTTACTCTGTAGACCCACCGCCCGAAAGCTGCTCTGGCCGAAATCCTCAACCCTGCAGTCGCCAGACCCGAGCAAGCTTCAAGCCGACAGAGTGCAGTGACCTGAATCAGGTGGTGCAGCCTATCCCTAAAACGCAGATCACACACCCTATGAAAGCACTAGTCATACAAGGCAGATCGAATGATCACTCGGATTTTTTTTATAGGCTTTTGTTACGAGAGTCAACGATCCAAGCCTTTGTATTGCGAGTTATACTTCCCCTAAAGTTGCAACCCTGACGGAACACCTGACGCCCTAAGCCGGGTGCCCCCCAAAACGACGGACTACAATGGGCTTCCAATTTTGAGAGGCTTTGCAGGATTCTATAAGGGCCTAACGTACAAGGAGCCCGTGGAATGGCAATTATACTTCCTATGCTTCAAGCTCGTCGTCATTTGAGGGCGTGGCTTTAAACCCTCAACACTTGAGCCTTCAACCCTCACCCCTAGCTCCAAGCCTCAATCTGAATCTGTAAGCTGTAAACCCTGTAAGCACAAGTCGCCTACTTGAGAGACGTCGCAGTGTGGATTGGTGCTACTTTTTCCAGCTTTGGGTAAAACCAGAAACAGCAAACGTCGTTTCCGTACTTGGCAGGCATATCAACACAGCAGACTTTTCGCAACGGCTCATGGCCAAGACGGCCTTTGCCCGGAAAACTTGGATTCCCTAGCAGCTGTACACAATCGAATTTCATGGTCGCCAAAAAAGCAGCCTGCGAAAAGTTGACTGCGCTGAAACTCACAACTTGACAATTCGTCGCCGTGCTGTACTTTTACTCATGATTCTGACCTTTACACATTACGAACAGTTCGAAAATTGAAGACGCGCAGCCCACGGCTAACAAAAAAGCAAAAAGCATGCTCAACCGCACGAGAAGCAACATTTCCGAATGCGGGAGGCCAGAAACATGCAATATTTGTTTTCCCTAGGTTTTGCACATTCGAGGCTTCACGCCTGCTCTGTGAAATGTGTCTAAACACGCGGCCTGGTAGGTGGCCGTTGCCATGTCTTTGCTTCCCTTGTTCTTCCTTTGGAGGTTCTCAGCGCAGTGGAGACAAAGGTCCCCGGCTACTTTGACAAAATACGCGATGACGTGGCTCGTCCGCAATCAGCCGCAAGACTTGGGAATACATTCGTGCAATCGTGCACCTTGGCATTCCTTGACTTAGAACAAGCTCAATTGATGGAAGGTGGTGCCTCGAGATCGAGGTGCTGACCACGGAGACGGTTCTTGGGGCACGGCTCTTCATTTGCAGTTGGCGTTGGTGCTCTCTCAAGACGAAGCTCTGCCCATTGTGCCATTCGCCTGCTCAGGACACGATGACTTTTCAGGATGACGAGCTGTCGTATGCTTTGGGGAAGCAGGTGGGCAGTGGCCAGCCATCGTTCGTTTAGGGGTGCGTACTTGGACCGGCAATTTGCAAGGGCGGCACCCGGAAGAAGATCGAGAGATCCTCCGGCGCCATTGTGCAGTATGTGGGGCAGGCGGGCTCATGCGGCCTCTCGCCTCTCGCCGCTCTCTTGCAGACACAACTGATCCAACTGTCTCCTGCCGCATCGAAGCCGGCTGCCGGCCAAGCTGCTGAAGCTCAAGCATAGGGGACCTCGGAGCCTCGCTTCTCTGGAGGCTTTTCCCTAACTCCCCCTTCAGCCTGCCTGGTTTCTGTTTGTCGGGAAGATGTAGTCTGCCATGGTCAAGTGCACGGCCTTTGTGCGCTATGGCCTGGGCCATGGCCGCGGCCGCCTGCAGGTGATTTGCTGGCTGTGGCTCTGGTCCTGCATGCTCTGCTTGATTCTGGACGTCTACAAGATCCGGGTTTTTGCTGTGCAGCACCCATTGCTAGAACCTCCCGAGATTAAAGATGTCGCAGCGGCCGCTTCCGACTGCAACGCCCAAGAGTTCTTAGCACGGGTCCGGAAGATACCTCTCGCGAGCCGGAGATCAAGCATGGAAGTGGCCTTGAATCAAAGCGGTTTAGACGAAGGCCGGATCTCTCTTTTCCTGCTCAGTTGCCTGGAAGTTGCGGCCAAGGACAAAGCTTTCGGAGACGAGGGAAAGCTGACTGGTATGGTGTGCAGCTTATGTAGCGACGGTGACGGCCGCCCGGAAGAGGACCCGGCAGTACGGCAGCGAGCGCTTGCGGTTTCCTTGCAACTCTGGAGGCACAACGCCAGCCAGTTCACAGCCTTGCGGGTTCTGCAGCAATGGTGCATCGACGAGACGGATGCAACAGGCCAGCAGTTGGAAGCCATTCAACGGATGTCCGAGGATTTGTTGGAGAATAACAATTGGCGACTCCTTCAACTATTTTTGAAGGCATTCCCCCGATTTGCTCCAGAACATGCGGACAGGATTGACGAGGCCATCAAAAAGATGTGCGGGGAGGGAAGCTTCAAAGCCGCAATCCAAGTTGCGAAGTGTGCTTTGTGGCCGAGTTCTCGGATTGGCCGGCTGTACCGACAGCTGCAATTCCATCAGATCAAGACTGGCGCGAGATCCGAGCAAGGCAAGGAACTCGCTTCGATCGCTGCGTGCGGAAAAGATCAAGGCCGACAAAGGCTCTTCGTGAAGGAGCTCTTCAAAGCAGGGAAACTCGAGCTGGCTTCCGAGCGCATCAGCGCGTGGAGCCTCGAAGGCCTGCGGCCAACGTCCTTGCAGAAGCGAAAGGGTGCCAAGCGTGCTCGCAATTTCTATCAGCTGCCGGCCCATTTAAAGGTCCGAACCGTGAGCTTGAAAGATGAAGTGGAGGAGGGTGTGTCAGTGTTACAGCGGGCGCAGTGCATCGGCTTCGACACCGAGTCTCTGCACGGAGGACGGCCTTGCTTACTTCAAGTTGCATCAAACAAGCATGCGCTGTTGATCGATTTGCTCGCACTTGAGCCCGACGCTGCCGCGTCTGTGGCATCTCGGTTTATTAACGGGGCCTCAATTTGCGTGGGCCCTTGTGCTGCAATCCTGACCTTCGTTTCTGACCTTAGGCAAGGCTCTTTTCCAATTCGGACATCGTGAAGGTCAGCTTTGCCGGCAACTTGGATGGGGTTGGGGGATGGGACGACAAAATACTGGCAGGCTCGCAACCATCAAACCTTTTTTCGTGGAAGGATGTCGCACGCACACCTTCTTGGGTAGCTCAGCACGGCCACCTAGGTCGGCAAGATCTGAGGCAGTTGTCCACTGTTCTGGGGGTCGAAGCCAAGTCCGTGACACCTTGCTTTGACTTGAAGCATTTGGGAGCGCTGTGACTCGCCTCGCCTATGAACCCCCTTGCTGGGACATAACGTTTAATGGTGTAATGCACCATGCAAGATAAGGGACTCACGTGTCACAGCTGCTGTGGCTGTTGCCTTGTCCCTACACCGGGACATGGGAGCAAAGGCAGACGTTCCACGGCACAGGTTGAAGTGGCCTGCGATTGGGGGTCATTTCCTGAGCCCGGGCTTCTCTAAGGTACCGCATGAACCAATCCGATATCGACTTCAACGAGGTCCGCTTCTCGGAGTCGACATGCAGTTTTTCCCGGACGTTACCTGCGTATAGTAGCTTTCCAGCCGATAGCTTTGCGCCTTCGCCAAGGCGATGAGTGCGGTCAAGTTGCAGTTTTCGTCGAGTAACTACGAAAGAACAAGCCCAGTCGAATGTTGGCTAATCTGCATCCGTTGACTGGTTGCGAAGTTCTCCAAGCAACTCGTGCGCGCCCACACCCTTGCCACATTGGCATGCCCTGAAGAAAGGCCCTCGACGGCCTCGGGCTCTCCTCACTGGCTGAGGAGGTCTTGGGCAAGCCGCTGAACAAGGCCGCAAGTTCGGAAAGCGCACAGCATGTTGGAGCAAGTGCAGGGCAGACAAGGAACGTTAAGGCAGCCAAGGCAGCAGAAAGAGTCGCCATACAACCATGGGGCCTGAACGCAGACTAAAGTTGCCCTACGGAATTGACAGCTTGGTAGTCCGAATGCAGAAGGAGATGCGCGCAAGTGACTGGTCCAGAAGGCCTTTGCTGCCTGCACAGCAGCAGTACGCGGCCGTGGATGCCTGGGTTCTGCTGCGGCCTCCTGCGCTGTCAAAGGATAGGAGACAGGAGAGGGGTAGAATAGGTGGGTAGCGGTGGTCTGGAAACCACTGGGCAGGGAAGCACCCAACTAAAATGTCCGGAATGTAGAACTAATTAGTCATAAACTACATGGTTGAGGTGTCTTCGCAATTCAGGCTTTGGCAGCGACTGAAGCACTTCGCGGAGTAGGACAAGCCATGGCTGCTGGGCACAACGGACATTTTCGACCATGGCTTCATCCCTTCATTCTGTCGCCGCGACCGCTTGTGCAAGAAGTCCAACTTCAATGCGGCAGGACAACCACCACTCGAGGTATCATGTGGAAGGGCTCGTGGGCGCATGCTTGCAGGTGGTGCTCGAGGCCAGATGAAAAAAAAGGAGTGTTGCACGGCATGGGATTTCTAGCCGTTGAGTACAAAGTGATATTCGGGACCAGGTTTAAGTTCCCCCTTGGCATGCTTGCGTGTTCCATTCTGGAAGCCGTCTAGAGCCTGTCGGGTAGTCAGAGTCACTACCTGACAGGACCATTTCCACAAACCGCGGGGAAACAGACCCGAAACCCAAGACATCTCAAAGACGAACCTCAAGAATGCAGGAAGTCCTATCACTCAGATTTCCGTGTTGCGTTTTCTCTTGATTGTTGAGTGATGGCGCTGCCTCTCCTCTTGATTGCTCTTCTATGTAATGCTGGCAGCGAGGACTGTGGATCAGAGGAGTGTGTGCTGGAGGCGTTGCAGCCGATTCACACATGTGGCGAGTGGTGCAAGGGAGCCGAGTCGGCAACATGTACAATAAACCAAAGCCTGATGCCATGCCGGGGCTCTTTCTGTGAAACCAGCTGTTTGCGATGGTCTCGATCTGTCCTGGCTGATCTTCGGACATTGAAGGTCACGTGCAGAGAGTTCTCCGACTTTGCATCATACCCTCGAGGCGCTTCGATTTGCAAGGAGGAGTGTCTTCTTCCAGAGATTCGACCCGAGCGGTATCCGCTTCCCACTGGCGTGGGTTTGCTTTGCAGACCTGGCTCTTGCGATCCAGCCGTGCAGCAAAGGTACGGGAGCGTAGCCTGGGCCAAGACACCTGGGGTGGTTGAGCTCGAGTGCCCTTGCAATTGGTTCGGGTCCGACTGCCAAGACGATTGGGTGCCCGTTCTTCGAGTCGAGAAACATGCGTTGGGAGCCTTTCAGTTGCTCCATTTGCACGTGGAGCCGCATCTCTGGCATCGCCTCATGAAGGACGGAGTTCCGAAGCTTCAACCACATGCCTGGCATGCCTCATCCGCATCCTCTCCTCGAGATGTCATTAGCATCTCTTCTCGGTCAATGCACAGGGACGCTGGGCACCATGACGAGCAAACACGGGACACCCACAAACAGTAGACGGGGAGACCCATTAGGACAGCTTAAACACCAAGACACCAGGACGCCCGGATAACGAGCCACTGCGACATGCCAGCCAACTGCTTCGAATGCAAAGTGGTCGAGAAGCGCAGCTGCAGCTGCAAATGAGCACGATCTCTCCAGGTTAGTCAGTCATGAAATCCAAGCAGAGTTCAGGGAGCAGGAAGCTTCTTGCCAGATTCGAGAAGCATGGTAAGGCCACGCTCAGGTGACGAAGGCTGCTGTAATCAAAGGTAAGGCTGTGCAACATCGGTATTTGTATGTTTGTAGCCGACACCGCTTGGACTGTTCCCGAGAGGATTACCGGCCCGGCAGTATCGTCAGACTGCAGCATTTGGATGCGAATGGTGTCGCCCGCGAGCAGCCCTATGCTCTCGGCTTTGGCAGCGACGGTGCCGAGGGTAGGCTCGAAATTCTGACTGGGCCCCCACCAGAAGGCCTGAACAGCGTGGTTGTGGAGGTAGCGCACGCCGTCCGACAACTCGCGCCGGGACCGGTTCAGGGGCTCTTCGTGAACCCCGCGATCGCCGGTTTCTTCAATGGCCACTACCGATTCCTTTTCGAGTCTCTGGCCTCCACGCCCGAGGTGCGTCGCGTGGTGCTGGTGTCCTCCGGCGTGGGCTTATCTGGCGTGAAGGCCGCACTCTTGCAGTTGCTGGGCAAGCCGATGGACTGGCCTCTGGAGATCCACCTCTTCTATGGGCTTCGGAACGTCATGGATTTGCCTTACAAGGTGCCGGGTTTCCAAGAAGCTGATTGAATTTGCGCACAAGATGGTGTTGCGAAGGAGCTGCTGGAATCTTGGGTTCTGGCGGGCCACCTCAGCCTCACGCTGCTGGTTTCAGGCCTTGCGAAGTGCATTGGATCGCTTCCTTCGCTTCCTTGGTGAGATCCTTTGAGGTCAGCGCCAGGGTGTCGAAGGCGTTCTCCAAGACGCAGTATCCCGGCCAAAATTAGCATCTGGCAGAAAATGCCCGCTGCAGACACTTGGCCCAGGTCGAGAGAGGTGTGGCAATGATGTTGGTGGCTTGCCTGATTGTAGGTAGTGGTAGGCCAGTCACTCGAATTGAATTTCCTGCCGCTTTTCGGCATAGGCTTCAAATGCTGATGCGCTTCCGGCGAGTCTACGACGGCTGCTGCCGTTCCTTCGCCGCAGACAGTCTTCTGCAAAGGCGGCGACAAGTCAGCGGGCCCTGAGGCCAGGACGGCTGTATCCCCAACAAGCACTGGCGATAGAACTTGCGGCAGGCGGGCGCGACAGCACCCATGGCTGTCTTCGCTTGCTCGGACGGTTGTAGTTAGTAGCAGCTGGCACTGAGAGAGGATCTCTTCGCTCGGCGTCGCAACTCTCTTGCAGCTTCGGGATTCGTTAGGCAGGCCGGTAGGCCGGGTGCATGCTTGACTGAGGCTCCGAGACACTGCCGTTGTGATCTGTGGACGCTATGAGTTGCTGCGGGACACGCCGACAGCCTTGCAGGCGGTTAGAGCTTGAAGTGTTTTTCTTTCTACGAGTCTGAGACGCGCTTCCATGCAGAGGCAGTGTGTCGGCTGGACGAGGCCGCTGTATGAAAGAACCAGAGGTCCTAGTCCTAAACCGCTGTGCCATCGGAGGCGTCCTGCGCCGCCCTTGCCAAGGCACGCGTTTTGGCCGCTCGAGGGGTTGAAGCATGGGCTGCGCCGGCTGCGCTGCCCTGCAGGAGCGCATCTTCACCAACATCTAGAGCTGTCAAGCCATTCCGTGGCCTGAGCATGAAGAGATGGGCATTTCTGGTCGCAAACCTCTAGGAGGTGGTGATGTGGTCAGGCGTAGTGTCACTCGGAAGCCGCACTTCCGGTCATTCCGGTCGACTTCGAAGAACTGTGCACGGAAAAGCTTGAGCACCAAGAGCTGAAGTCTTAACATGTACGCCTCTCCACGAACGAAGCTTCTCGCACGCAGAATGCGCTATTCTCCGGCTGCAAAGCAGAGCGCAAGCGGGCCAAGGAGCGATTTGCCAAGGCGCTTCTTCAGTCCTTGGATTGAATCACCTGGACCAGGAGTACATGAAGTGGCTCTTTGACCAGCTGGAAGGTCCAGTCTATGCCGGGCCTTAAGAAACGGCCTGTATGGGGCACCCGAAGCACCGACGCCCTTTACACCTGAAATTAAAATGAGGTCCACGGGTGGGAAGACCGCGACGACATCACCGTTGTGGCGGCGTCCTGATTTTTCTTCGCCCCTCCACGTCGCATTCGTGCTAGCTCGCGGAATTCTCTCCCAAGGACGTGCCACAGGATTGCATCGGATACGTCACGGGCAACCGACGAGCTGCCTTGGGCGGCATCGAAGAGGACTATTGCCTGAAAGTGGGTCCACATCTCGGTTCCAGGTGTGCGGCGGGTGGTCGAGACAATGTGGCAGGGAGCTGGTGTATACATCGTCCCTGTTTGCTCTTGGAGTTCCTCGTTGTTGTTGGGGCTTCAGGTTTGTAAGTGCGCAGGTTCACCGACATTGAAGTTCAAACAGCTTTTGTGGCAACGTTTTCAGGAGTGGGGCACGTTGATGTTCTTCATGAACAAGGCACGGACTCATTCAGCAGACTTCTCGAGCTCTCGCTTGACTCTGGACCCCTGGAGGATGGCGGTAGCACCAAAGGTCGAGGCGCCCACGCAAATATGCTCACAGCTTGTAGAGCATTTGGATCTTCTAAACATGCACTCTGCACGGGTGGCAAATGTGCCCAACATGAAAAAGGAATCCAAAAATCAGCGAACATAACCGGGCAGCTCCTCAAAGACAGCAACCATCACGCACAGCTAGCACAAAAAAGTGCTTCACCAACCAGCCCCATGAACATATAACCATGCAAACGCTAACAACCAAAAGAAAACATGCAGCTCGGACAGGTCTGACGAAACGTTTATTCTGATGAAAGGATGCAGCTCGCATCAAAAATTAAACCAATAGCCTCGGAGGCCTGCTCCTTTAATTGTCCGTCCTGCCCCCCCTCTGACGGCCCCTGCCACAACTCTTCGACTGTGAGTGTTTGGCAAACACAATAAATGCTACCCCGCTGTCCTGTCGCAAGCATACAATAACCATGATCACACAACAAATGTGCAAAATCGCATTACCTCTCTATGCCAACAGCACACATTTGTCATTGAACAACAAGGGTTTCCAGAGCAAAACTAAATAAAATAGTTAAGGAAAAAGTAACAGGAATTAACTAATCGTTAAGTCCTAATTAGCCAAGTAGTCAATTCAGAAATTATCTATTAGTTAGGACATTCATTGACTATTAACTCTTAATCAGGAATTTGTCTAACCCGGTCTATTGGGTCCCTGTAGGTCGACGGAACAGTCATGAAGACTGTGGGTACCGTTGTTTGCTGTGGACTCGTTCGCTGTAGCCTCCGGGGCTAGCTGAGTGTCTTATCAACTGAAGGTTGCAACAAGGGGTGTGGGGAGTGGCCTCCCTGCAGGTGTCAGAATTTTAACCGGTTTCCGCGCCAGGCCCCACCTGGAGCTGGAATCTGGATTTGGCCGGGGGGCCGCCGAGTCCTTCTTGGGGTGTCTGAAAGTGGTGTTTCAGACCGATCCAGACGGGAGAAACGAGCCCCCGATGATGCTCATGATGCCTGCCTGTCGACTCCGATATGGGCTCCGAGCATGCTCATGAACCTTGCTTGTGTGCGCATGTATTGAGCGTGGAACTACAGCCTTGCTTTTCTGCAGCGCACAAGTAAAAACTTATGCGTCTAACTGTAGCCGTAGCTATAAACGAACCACCTTGAACGGCCGTGGCTCATGCGTATTTTGCAAAAGCCAATGTGGGACGATGACGACTTTCAGACCTACTTCGAGGGCCACCCCTTTGCGATCCCATGCCCTTTCAATGCACACGTGGCAACCTCTGAGGTTTCGCTGTACCGACAGTCGGCCCGAAATCAGGCCAGCTTTCTGCAGAAGAAATCTGAGCACAGACTCGGCATGACATGCTTGGAAGACAGGAGATAGTACATGCTTCTTTCAATCTTTGCCTGGCAGACTCCGTCGACATCTGCCCGGCTGGGAAAAGCTGTTCGGGCCCGTCGACCTGCAGCATCTCTCCTGCGAGCTGCCGAACCACACATTGAGCCATTCTGTTTCTTTTTCCGTCCGCCTGAACGTTCAGCCTTCCGCCTTCATTCCATCGTGTGCTCAGGCTGAGAAAACTCTGCGCAACGACCGGTGCAGTGCGTTCGAAGCGCGCGCGACAAGACATGGAGGACTACTGCCGAATGGTGGCGGCCTTTGCGAACCACAATGACCTACCATTGCCGGGTCCGACGATCCAGAAACGAAGCCGATCCGGACGACGAAATTACGTCCCAGACTTTATTTCTCGACTTCCAGGACTCTGGTGGCAAGCAGCCGCGCCGCAGCAACTTCTGTTTAGGGTTGCTTACAAGAACCATGTCAGTCATGCCACATGTGCAACTTCTGGGGACATGTAGGGGTACCACATTGCCACCATCATCATGCATCCGGCTAGGCGGTGCAGCGAGCGCCGGGGCGAGTGTGGTCGTGGCCTGCGAATCCAAAGGCTTTTGCCGGCGCTGACGGCGAGCCCGAGGGACCTCGTCCTCAATGCCGTTGCGTCTGTTATTCTGAAGTGCGGCGGGCCAGCTGAGGGACCACCCGTGGGTCGACGCTGACGGAATCTTGGCGCAATACTAGCCTACAAACTGCTACGGTGCTCCACCAACAGCCACCAAAATAAAGCACTAACGCTCACAGTAGCCCTGCCCTCTTCCCTTGCCAACGACCTGTCCGCACATCAAAGTCATGCTTCCTGTACCAGTTCTTTTGCAGTCACGAACTCAGGTCTACCGCTTCTTACACGGTACACAACAGACAACCCGGAGTCCTTTCACTTTCCCTACGCAAGAGCTTTGACAGATCTGTGTGCTCCACCGTTGCCGCGCTGCCGGCAGCCCTATGCGGCGCAGCGGACGCCTTGTGCTAAACCAAACAGTCTCAATTATGTGCTCGCATTAAGCCCTGCACCCGGTCCTCGACACCCTAGACCTTGCACTCGGCCATCCAGCGCTGTGTCCGCTGAAAGTCTCACAAAAGCCATGCTGCAGGTCCGCTGCCGTTAGAAAAACCGTGAGACAAGTCCGAACACTGTGTCTAACCTCGCTCTTATTGTGCTCGCAGCTATCTGAATTTGGTGGCTCACCGAGGTAGATCACAACTGCAGAGATAGGCAGCGACGCTGACAGAGCCAGCAAAACGAGTGGCCCGTTGTACTGAATCTTTACGTTTGCAAGCCTGTCCTGTTGCTCTGCCTAGCTTTCTTCCCAGTCCCTCCTCCGCAAGTAAGAGTGTTCCGGGGATAGGCCCGTGCATGCTGCATGCAGGTCATCTTGGGGAGTCCGCACCGTACTTTGTATCCTTTGCTGTTCCTACTACCTCGAAATCTGTTCGACTCGACTCCCTTGGGACTGTGAGCCACTTGAGCGACCGATGCACAAGAACTTGCGGGTCGCATTCTACTTTCCCCCCCAGCATGCCATGTTGGTTCTAGGCAAGGTCCGCAAAAGGATCCGCAAAGAACAGGCGACAAGACCAAGCAAGCGAGCTGTGAACACAAGCAGTTCGGGGGAGCCACCGTGGCAATGGTAGCCCAATGTGTGCCACCAGCTGGGGAAGCCCTTCGAGACGATCCACATGGTGGCGGATCGACACAGAAGCCACAGGCCGAGCATGAGAAAAAGGCGCGCAGTGAAGACACAAGTTGTGGGAGAAAGGAGCCACACGACACCGACACACCGCCCGACTGGGGGAGCAGCTCCGACGATGTTGTGCCGTTGCACAACTGGCCCTGCGGGGACTCTGGTCGCCCCTCCGATCGAGGAGACAGCCCAGGCCACTTAGCACAGAGACCGAGCGAACAAAAAGGGGCCGCCGCCCCAAGAACGACGACGAGACTTACCTACTACAGAAGGGGGGCGTGTCCACTTGGTTCCCAACCTGCAGTGGCGAGGAGTACAACAAGTACAAGAGCATGTGGCAAGAAGCCGCGCAGAGCGAGAAGCCTCGAGAAGCTAACAGGGGGAGCCCACTCAACACGGGGAACCTTTTGTCCCCCCTGCAAGTTTTGGTCCGTGGACGCTCTTGGTACCGATCGCCTGCCGAGAAAAAGACCGACGCAGCAACTTCTGAGGGGGACTAGGTGTGAACTTTTTAAGGGCTTGCTTGCCTTCTTCGTTCAACCCATGTACTGGGCCACATCGCCCGAAATCTTAGTGTCTGTTGAACTCACCGATACACCCACGGGGAATTCGGGGGACAGCTGGAGCCTCAATTCGCTTTTCGTTCAACCAATGGCAATCCAAAGCCTGCTCAATGAAGCGGGGGGAAACTGCATGTTTTTGGCCTGGCACCCCAAGCTGTTCTTTGAGCTCCCCCGCTGATGCCTGGGCCCCAGCCTTAGTATGTCATGTCCTGCATATTTTGTTGCCTACTTCCAAGCTCTGCTTTACTACATCAGTGGGGGAAGCTCCGTCGTACTTGTCCAGCCGAGCCTTCTTCGGTAACATCGAAGCAGGAAAGTTAGACACCCGGTGGACTGCGGGTGCGCGCTCGCGCGCAGGGCACAGTGGGGACCGCCCTGTGTCCTTTTCCCAGTCGAGCGAGAGAGAGAGATACACGACATGCCCGTGTAAGCCGCCTTGCATACAAGCGCTGAACGTGTGAGTGCGCGCGGGCCCGGGTCTCTCTCTGTGTGTGTGTGTGTATGTGCGTGCGTGTGCGTGCGAGCGCGCCTGGCCCTGAATCTCCCGGTCCGGCTCACAGCCATTTACACGTGTGTCGTGTGTCCAGGCCGCGGCGGCTCAGAGCAGCTGGTGGCGGACTTAGCTCGGGCACCTTTGGATCCTTGCAGGGCCCTGGACGGGTTTGAAATGCTTGGCTTGTACCCGAGTACCCAAAGCCCGCCAGCTCCCCAGGCGATCTTCGGCAGCGAGCGCTCGCGGCGTGGTGCTGAGCTCAAGGCCGTCGCAGCCCGGAGTCGGAATCAGGGGGGGAGCAAAGGAGCCAAAGTGGGTTTGAGAGGGTACGCAGGCTAAGGGGGATGCTTCAGAGCCTTAGTTCGGGGTGTTAGGCTTGTGACCGAATCCTCTGCCGCAGGTGATGAGTGCTGTGGAGACTAAAGCTCCTGGAACTTTCACTCGCGGCATCCGCGAAAAGTTCAGTGACGAGAAGGCCGGGCTGAGCAGTACATCGCCAGGTTTGCTGGGGTGATGGCAGCGTCATGGCAGTTGTGCTTGTCGATGTGGTCCTGGGCCTGGCGCAGGGCTTCTCCACAGACCGCATGATCTTCAGGGACGATGAGTTGAGCTATGCTCTAGGCCGCAGTCGGGAGAAAGGGGATCACTGTAGAGTTCGGCTTCGGAAAGCTTGAAAACAACACCGGGCCCGTTAAAAGTTTATGCTCTGAAGCCCAACCCTGTCAGCTCCCCTCACCAGAGCGGTCGAGACAAGAGCGCCGATTTGTTTAGCAGATTGGCAGTGCGCAGAGGTTGGACAGGTCAGCGGTTTGTTCGGACTCAGGGCGCATCACGATTCAGTTTCAGACAGACAGCTCTGCAGCTCTGCATGTCAAGCCAGCTTGTGTAGGCTGGTAGCAGACGGTCGCGCCGGAAGCGGGCAACAGTGAGGGATACTGCAACAGATGCAGAGATACGCAGAGTCTTCCCAGGGTGCGTGTCAGTAGAGACATAGCCGGACAAGCGATGACCCGGTTCCTTTAATTGTCGTGTTGGCCAGGAAAGGAAGGCATGACACTCAGACGACGTGCTCGTGCTACAAGTCCTATAGACGGGGTCTTGCGCTTTTCATCGTTTTGACATTGCTCCTTTTGCTTGGCGGTCAGCGCAGGGTGCCCTAGGCTTGGCTTCTCTGCTGTTTTCAGTTGCTCGCAAGTCCTGCTTCCGGCTTCACGTCGCGTAGCCACAAGTCTAGCCGGAGGTCGTCATGTGTGGTGTGCGTTGCCAGCTGCTGATTCGATGTCAATTCCCAGGCTCCACCAGGAAGAAGTTGGCTCTAGCAGCCAATGCCAGCGCCCTGAGTGTCTATACGCATGATGCACAGTCTGTACATCTGATTTCACGTGCTTGATGCGCGGGGCTCAGCCCTGGCCGTCTTAGCATCGGCTTGAGTCGTAGACTCGTAGTTCGGAGCGCTTTGAAACGGGCTTTGAAAGGTTGGCTGCTGGAATCCTCTCGGCTCGAGCTCGTGAGAGCCCGCTGCCCCATGAAACCTAGCGATGTGTCTAGCCGTGCATGGAGGACACCGACGTATCCTTGCAGGAGCTTGGCGCCCAAACGGTGTCGTCATGCTGCGTCTTCTGCAAGGTACCGTTTAAGGACATGGTGTTGCGAGTCGGGCGGCGCTACGAGGTCAAGGTCCTTCACTGCCTTCATTCGGCGTGTGGCAGATGTCTCGAAGAGATCCTCACCACAGGTCAGGAGGTTTTGTGCCCTGTGTGCGACCACCGGATCAAAGAGCAGGACTACCACAAGTACCTTTGCAACTTCGCAGAAAACCAGACTCTGGACTACCGGGCCGCGGGTTTCACCTCCACGCCGCTGATCACCTGTGACGAATGCGTAGATGCAGGTCCAGCCGTACAGTACTGTGCACGCTGCGTGCGGAGGCTATGCGCCGAGTGCGCAGAGCACCACGGACGTTCGAGAGCCTCGGCCTCCCACGTGCTGACGGAGCTGACAGCCATGGCAGAGGCGGCAGAGGCGGCGAAGGCAGCGAAGGCGGAAGCAAAGGAGTTGACGGAGGACTCCCAGCGCTCGTCCCGCTCGTCGTCACTTTCCCTGCACCGGCTTCCCCTCTGTGCAAGCCATCGACGGGAGTTGGAGTTCTTCTGTGAGGACTGCAGCATGATGTGCTGTCGTGAATGCATACGAGAATCGCACGAAACCCACGTCTACAAGCTTCCCTCAGGCAGTCTTGTGGAGAGGCAGCGGCAGGGGCTTTCCGACAATGCGCAGCAGCTGCAGAGCCTCTTCTCATCGCTCCAGGAGCGACGCAGGACGCTGTCAGAGAACCTGCACAGCTGCGAAGCTGAGTTGGCGAAAGCGTTGCAGAACATCCGACACTTGGAGGGCCAGGTAAAGGAGGCCCTGCAGCAACGGCGGATCCAGATGCTGGATGAGGTGAAGATATTTCGAGACCAGCAGCGGGAGTCCCACGAGGCACGTCGGGCCTCGCTAGCCTCGCAGCTGCTCACCAGGCCAGGTGGCTGGAGTTCTATGTTGGATCAGTTTTCTTCTAATGTGGTGTTGACGAATTGCGCCCAGTCCAGGTGGCGAGCCATCGACTTCCTGGAGAAGGTCCTTGCTCGTGGCACGAATTGCGAGGTGCTGCTCCTGACGGGCCGCTTGACTTGCCTTGAGTTTTTCCATTGGGGCCATTTCCACCACATGCTCTTGTCGAGGCATGTATATTGTGCATATCATGCGCGATTACACACAGTTTTCAGTGACAGGTTACATCTCGGCACAGCGGTTGCTGGGGAAAGACGTGCTGGCGTCGAAGGTAGCAGAGCTGGCACTTTGTGCCGCTCTGCGTCCCAAGCAGATTCCCGTGAAGTGGTCAGGCGACGTGGCTGCAGCGGCCCACGAGATCTCGCAGATGGCGGCGGTGAGCACGCAAGGCCGTCACGCAGTTGAAGCAAGCCCACTTCAAGTGGGAGAGTCGCAAATGGAGGAAGTGTCGGAGCCAACACAGGCAGCCGAGGCCTTCGAGAGTCACGAACGGCAGATTGTTTCTCTGCAAGATGCAGTCCCTGCTCCGCCTGCTCCTGCTCCACAGCCCATCTGCTTGTCTCAGGCTTTGGAGCCAAGACAAGCTGTAGCTTCCGCGGGGCCAAGAGAAAAATTGGTCCGTTACTTGAAGAGCGACCAGGAAATCCGAGAATCAGGGCTTGGCGAGCTACGGGCGGTGCTTGGCTTGGAGGGTGATGCCTTGGGTTGCTTCCGTTCTCCTTGTGGTATGGCTGTGGACAGCTCACGCCTCTATGTAGCAGACACATTGAACCACCGGATTCAGATCTTTGACAAGTTCACTCTGGAGGCACTGGGTGTTCTACGGCTGCCTAGCTCAGGAGACGGCCCATCCAGCCTGAGCGACCCCAGTGGGATGTGCTGTGTAGAAGTGAAGGGCATGACCATTCTTGTGGTGGTCGAATATACCCTTGACCGAGTGCTCCGAATTGAATTAGGGCAATTGCCTCAAGCAGCAGCTGTCCGAGAGCTGGCGCCAGGCACTTTCTACGGGCCGTTTGGAGCAGGAATCTCGCAGGGCCGGGTCGTCATCGCCGACAGTTGCAATCACCGCTGCCTGGTTCTGACACTCAACGGCCAAGTCCTCTTCGAGTTCGGAACTCGCGGCCAGGGCCGAGGCCAGTTCGATTACCCCGAGTGCCTGGCCGCTTTCGCCGACGGTCACGTGGCTGTGAGTGACAAGGACAACCACCGCATCCAAGTCTTCGATGCAAACGGCAGCTTTCAGCACCTGATTCCCCGAGACTGGGCGCCCGAGTCCGAGGGCCATCTCGGGCCCGGGCGACTCCGTGCCGGAGTCTTACGGGGGCCCATGGGCATGTGTGTGGATGCGCGCGACCGCCTCTTCGTGTGCGACTGCGGCAGCGACCGCGTGCAGATCTTCAGCCGTCAAGGGGACTTCCTGTGGAGCTCCTGTTCTGCGACATGGATTTTCCGGTCGCCGACTGCCATGGCGGCAGACGAGCACAGCCTATACGTGGCTTCGGACCATTGTGTACAGATCTTCTGAGCAATACAGTAGACGAGCAGAAACCGACCCGAGAGAATTGGCTAAATGACCTGCATGTTGGGGGCCTTCTGTTGTTTTTTTGCACCCAGCCTCTTGGGTTTTGCCCCGGCTTCCGCTGATCCCTCTTTGGCTTTCTAGCTGCTTGGCTTTGGGCCGTGCTGTTCGGGCTCGGCTTCTCTCTCCGGCTTCTTAGTCTATTGCTGGTTTCTGGCTTTTGGGTTTGGCTTTCAGATTCATCTTATGCTGGCTCCCATCCTGCTGTCCGGGTTTTGGGTCTTTCGTCCGTACGGCTTCTGTATAGTGCGGCCGAAGGAAGAACACCCCAATGATAGTACGTAGTGCATTCCAGGTACCGAATCTCCTGCTATTCAGAAACCGAACTCGGCTTTTTGGCGGTTCCCAACTCCTTCAATATTGCAACTTGCTGCAAGCGGTGTTCTCGCCAAACGATGTGAAACCATGGGTTTCGGCAATACCGAACGTCGGAAAATGCCTAGAGCTCACGCGCGAAGCAACGCAAGCCCAAACACGAAGCACGAAACCCCAATGAGCCCGGAATCCCACGGCTGCTGTTCTCGCTACAAGATCTCCAGCATCAATCACTCCGATCTCGACGCTTTCAGCACCAGGTGATCCTGGAGTACGTTGGGCATGTGTGCTTCATGGCCGGGACATTGAAGGACTGCACCCGTGTTCGTAGTCTTACGGCTTCGGTGACTTTTTCTGTCTGCTGGGCCTGTTCTGGTAGTTTCAGGTTGCATTTGGACTTCTGAACCATCGCCTAAATCCTCCGAATTCGCCCACTGGTTGCAGGTTGGTTGCAGGCTTCGGCAATAAGTTTTTCAAACCCCGGGCACGATTCAGATCACGCGCATGCGGGGTAAAGCTGTACCCTTTTACTTGCAATGCTTCGACGACGGCATCAGAGACGACGAGGACGATGACGCCGACGACAACGATGACGAGAACCGAAACTAGGTCTGGGCAAGTCGGTCGGTGAATTGTGTCGTGAGCGACTGGACGCGTTCCACCACGGGCCTCCGCAGCCTCAGTCGAGCTCTGTGCAGCTGGCGATGAAACTAGTACTCCCGTATGCCCTGGTCG